TCGGAGTCATCAATGACGTCACAGGGCAGGTCAAACATGAAATATTTCACCGTTCACGGGTCATCTAGGGAATGTGCTATAACACCGAAGAAAACGCATTTTGTCGAGAATCAGCGATAGGGCGTCAGCTGCCTAGTACATATGTTGCTATAAGAGGTCACTGACATTACCAGGTCAGGTCACAGGTCAGGTCACCAAGGGTCACAGGTCAGGTCACATGAACCTAACTTTAGGTAGTAAGGCTGTGCGATGCATGTTTTATGGCCAATTTTTCATTTCCAACTCAATGGTGTTGGTTATAAGACTAGTATCAGGTACGGCTTAGGTCACTTTCTGGTGAAGGTCAGGTCAAGATAAAAATGTGCCGACCCTGACCCCACCACCCGATCGCGCAATTCCAGTTGTATGACAGAACTTTGTCCGAACGTTTAACGTGCCCTCACGACTGGACAAGCTATGCTTAGTGCGAGCTCCGATTCCTCAAAATTCACCCATTCAACCATTCGGAGTAAATTTATAAAAAAGGTCAGGTCAAAAAGGTCAAATTTTATTTTAACATTGATAGTTTTGCATAAAATGGGTATTGATTCGATGCAGCTCGTCACGGGGAGTCTAATCGTGGTCTTTGTTTTGCGCTACGGGTTCTAGAATTGCTAAAAATTGAGTTTGAAAGTTTGACGTCATCAATTTTGAACAGTTTTTTCGCTATAACTTGACCAAAAAAAGAGCTATCAATCTCAACTTTGGTATGTGGATAGAAGCCGGTAAGGACTATCACATATGTTCCGGTTTTTGCGAAATTCAAAAAACGTTTTGGATTTTTCGGCTATTATATTCAAAAAATCTATTTTTGATTTTGGGGGTCAAAATCTAAAAATTTCACAAATCCGAGATGGCAGTTTTGTAGCCCTGTCAATTCTACAGCTTTTATATTTTATTGTTTTTCTGTATTTGCAAAGCTATAGGCCTGACAGCTCTTCCCGCGAAACCTTTTTTTTTTGGTCGAAAACGGCAGAACATGACGTCACTCTGACGTCATTTCCGGCCAACCTATCACAGCCTTTGGAAAAATCTCTGGTCACAATGTGTAAAATTGATGTCCGGGAGGGTACTGAAAGTTTGGTGACGATCGGCGCGGCGGTTCTGGAGATATATCGAAAAGTCTGGAGGGGGGGGGGGGGAAATAGCCCCCCCCCCCCACCAGGGCGCGGGTTAACTATAAAATTAGGCATATGTACCTAAATGGCTGAGATTCAGGTAAAATGCACAAACTATTTTGCCAAAAACAAAAGTATCATAGAATTAGACATGAATCAAGTTAGTGAAATATCCTGAACAATGTGTAAGTACAAGGTGTGGTTTTGTTTTGTGATCAATGTTGTTGAAGGTTTTTTACGGAAAAAAATGCTTAGAGCGAAAAAAGATATATACAGAAAGCTTTCACCAGTGAATTTAGGTCCACAATTTTTGAACAGTGATGATTAGGGTAGGGTGGGGTAATTTGAACATGTGGGGCAATTTGAACATAGTGTGAAAACCAGAAAATTACGGAAAATCCATATGTGGCATGACAATAAGACCAATGAGGGAAATTATCGTAACTAAAAGGGCTATCATATGAATGGGGTTTAAAGTTTCAGGGAATGAAGATGTTGACGCACACTGTAAAAAATCAATTTCGCAAGTAAAAACGCCTAAAAACACGTCATTGCAACTTCATTGCAGCGCAAAATCTTGCATTGCTAGCGCCTAATACGCAACGGCTTTTGTTGTACAATGACCTAATCAGTGCCTTCAATCCAAGAAATTTGCTTTTGAAGCCTGTTTTTAAATATGGCAAAATAACTTTTAGCGTGGGGTAATTTGAACATAGTGTGAGAATTTCAGTGAAGTCAGGGATAGCTCCGAAAAAACAGCGCTCCCAGTTTTTTTTTTGCCAATATTTTCGACCCAAAGCAGTAGCAGATTAGTGATGCCAGTTTTATAAAAATTTACGTCTAATATCCGTCTAATGTCCGGCATTTTCGTTGATTTCCGTTCAAAAATGTTTAGGTCAGCCATTTGTCCAAATATGTCCGAAAATTACGCATTAATCAACACTCAAAACTGTCATTTAAATTGCTTCTAATGTAATTTTACCAGCCAAAAAGTGTTCATTGTATTAAAAGCTTAATAAGCTTTCCATTCGCCAATCAATGCTATGCACGATTACTTTATAAAAGCGCTAAAGTGTAGCAAGCCATCGTCCAATGTTGTCCAGTCTGCTACCTTTGTCCAGCCAATTCCGAATTGGAGGTTGGACAAAATCAGAACTCCAAATGTCCAGGTTTCGATTGGCACCACTATAACAGATGCAGTAAGGTTGGGAGAGTTTTTATCGAACAAAAATGATAGACGTTCTGATAATTGAAGAGAGGCGAATTCTGTCAACTGACCGGTGTGCAGCGTGCAGATATTGATACCTTGCAACTGTTATTTTTGTTGTAGTGTTGATTTTTCAAGTGAAGGTATGTTAACCCGCGCACCGACGGGGGGGGGGCGGATATCCGCCCCCCCCTGAGGTTTTTCGCGAATAGCGGGAAAACCGCGGCGCGTAGCGCCGCGAAATTTGGTATGACTATTCCCTTATCAATTTTACACATGGTGTGCAAGTTTGAACCTCCTACCTTTCAAGGTCAGGTCACCAGGTCACTTTGAATGACCCAACCTCAAGTCACTTTTTTGCAACTTTGTCACCGTGCCAGAGCTACAGTAGATGTCGGAGGCCTTTGAAAGTCGCAGGATGTTATTAGGTCATTAGTAGCTACAATTTGTATATCTCGGAATTTTGATATCGGTGACCTAAGGTCAGGTCAATTTCGCGACCTCCCCATTATAAGTCAATGGGGGAAAAATCAACTCCCTGTTTTTACCACTAAAACGGGTCGGAATGGCCCCATATACCATACATGACTTCATATACGATCAACCTTCACTACCTTGAGGTCTGTTTTGCTGTTGGGCAGCTGTGAGGTCATGTGACGTCATCAAAGGTCACCAAAGGTTTTTGGCCAATAACTCCGTACAGGAACAAGATACAGACGCGTGGATGGTCTCATTGTGTTCAGCTCGTCAAGACGCATCGAATGATATACATGATGACCTCGAGGTCACGTGACCTGAGGTCAACCTTTGACCTTGACCTTTCGAGGTCAACATATATATCATTCGATGCGGATTGACGAGAGGATCACGATGATGCCCTTAGTTTGTTCCTATCTTGACTAATTCGAAAGTTATTCGAGAAAAACTCTCTCCATATCTAGCGCCGCCATTTTGACTTTTTCGACCCCTGTGACGTCATCTTTGACCTGACCTGAAAATGACCTTAGTAAAAATTGTAGATCTTGACCGTGCGTATCCGATGCCGTTTACCGCTTGTCGCTATCTTGCTTCGTTCTCGAGATCTCAGGGGGGGGGCGGTCATCCGCCCCCCCCCCCGTCGGTACTAAGTTGGCGCAGACCCCCGTCGGTGCGCGGGTTAAGAATTGTTCTGCCTATTTGTTTATGGGTCAAACAACATCGGTGCTGGCGAGACTATCGTTTTTATGACAGGTAAAGGCAGTATGTTCAAATTACCCCACGGTGGGGCAATTTGAACACACCGTGACTTGGTGGAGAAGTGAGGCTATGCTTTTCAAGGTATGCTCGGCTCGTCCAAAAATGAGGCTTGCATGGTGAGAGCAAGTGACACTTGCGCTACTGAAGCAGTTTTTCTTCGTCCAGGGTTGAGCTGGAATTTGGTACAACGGAGAAGACGTAAAAATATGTTCAAATTACCCCACACTACCCTACTCCATCAAGTGAGGTAAGAAGTCGCACGACAATAGATAATCTCAGATATACATTGCAGAATGAATATTGAAACGGCGAAACTGAAAGCATGACATGCATGCAACAGGTGCCATTTTGGGAAAAAAGAACAGTGGGCACCTACAGGTAACCATGCATCTTGTGGTGATCCATTTGAATTGCTATTACGCCGGGCAGAATCCATTCATTAACCCTCGCCCATGTAGGGGGGGGGGTTGGTGCAACCCCCCCCCCCCCCTGAGGTTTTTCGGAAATAGTGTAAAAACGGCGGCGCGCAGCGCCGCCAAATTTTGGGTACCTTATGGGGCAAACCTTGCGCATCTTTTGATTAAAAAAATTTGACCGGGTCATGTCAGGTCACGGAGTTATGACGTCACAAAGGGAACAGCCTCCGGCCGGATTTTCACAAACTGAGTGCCAACGCCCGAGGTTTCCTGCCGGTGGTACGGACATCGGTTGATGGATCGTGATGAAACTTCCCATGCATGTTGGGGCAAGTATTGGCTCTCATATGGTATAAGAAACTTGACCGGGTCAGGTCAGGTCACGGAGCTATGACGTCACAAGAGGAACAGCGTCCGGTACTATTTTTGAAAAGCGCCCGAACCACTATTTTGCTAATTCTTGTCACCTCAATGGGAATATGCAGCAATATTAGCTTCTATAGGGAGCAAATGGACCTCCCAAATCCAAAAATACAATCAGATTTCAAAAATTTAAATTTTGATTTTTCGAATTTCTGCCGCCGACTGTGACCTTGCCGACTTCCGGCGCTCCCAACGCGCCATTTTTAGAGCTAGGGAAACGAAATACATACCAAACGATAGAGAATTGATCAAGGAACACGATAGTGAAGGTTTCAAGTCGATATCTCCCACCGTTTTGCCGCAATCGCCGCGGAAAGTTGAAAAAAGTCTATTTTTCCGAAAATTTGACCTTTGACCGGTCAAAAGTAGGTCAAATGTTGACCTAGGACCAAAAAATATACCACCAATCGCGAGATCTCGTTGAGAGCAATCCGTTGGTCTTTTCCGCTAAGCTCTACGACGCTCCGTTTTCAAACGCCAAGGGGGGGTCGCACCAACCCCCCCCTGCATGGGCGAAGGTGGCAGATCGCCGTTTACGGGCGAGGGTTAAAATGCTGCTTTTATCTTCAAGCACAATTGACGCGCAGAAAATTCTGGTGTCTTTTAGCCCTCTTATTGATAGGCTCGGTCGTAGATGCCTATACCTATCAGTAGCAGCGGGCATAATAGTCCCTCTGCCCTATCTCCCTCCGAAAATCTCACGACCTGCTGGACCGATTTTCACCATTCAAACGCCGCTGGTGGGCTGGGCTGGGTCTCAGCGGCACCTCCTCTCTCCCTTCCCTACCCTGTCACTCTTCAGGGCGGTGGCACCACGTGACCCTGGCGGCCCGCCGTCCGGCTGATCACGTGATGGCCGCGGGCGCTGGGCCGCTCGCCGCGCCCTTGACGACGTTGGCGGCAGCGGCGGCGGCGGCGGCGGTGGCCAGTCTCTCCGGCACTCGCACCGCGACAACTCGCCATGACCGCCATCCAGACCGCCGTGTTCGCCGCCCTGCTGGCCACAGGTGAGGGGCCGCTCTCCGTCGGAGACTGCAGGTCAGTAGTTCTGACACCGTGCAGACAGACGAGGGCGATTGAACGAGCCGCAGTGAAAGTGAAAGTCGTTTGAAAATGATTCTGGGAACGGTTCCCAAGCCTGAAATTACGGGCTTTGTTTGGTTTTAGGAATAGGAATTTGTGTTATTTTTAGCAGTTTATGTATGTATAGCGGAATGCACCTCGAGTCCATGTCGACGCCTAAATAATAATAACATATCGTCGCCCCAATAATAATAGAAAATCCAGTCCAAAGCAATCCTTTAGCCGAGAAGTTTGGTCAGCAGTCAAGTAACACCGATGCCCAAAGCACGGACTGACCCGTAGACCGGTGACTAGTACGTAATCCGATTTTTAGTCCATATACTGTCAACTCTGGTCCGAACTCCGAAGTTCGGCGATTCTGGTCCGTAGTTCGGCTTCTCTGGTCCGTAGTCCTTCAACTCTGGCCCGGCGAATCTATGTCCGTAATTGGTCAGCTGCGGCTCGTGCCTTAGGTTCGGGCGGTGACCTTCCAGGGTTGACCCAGTTCCAGCGGGTTTAGGGCGGGGCCACTTCTGTCCCGGCCAAGGTGCTCCCCATAGCGGTCACCTCACTCCGGACCGACACTGCCTGAAGTGGGCATCTGTACGGACCAAGATACGCTCGACAGTGAGCACTCTCCTCAGCAGGCATTTCAAAGCGGGTACTACCCTCTCCCATTGTTTATCGTGCTCCCGATCCAGACATACATACGTTCGACGTCTCTGCAACTCTCTCCGAGACTCCGCGACTCTCTCCGCGACTCCGGACTCTGTCCGAGACACAGAGCTCTGTCCGAGGCTCCCGACTCTTTCCAATACTCCATGGCTCTCTCCGAGACCTTGCGACTCTGTCCAAGGCTCCACAAGGCTCATGACTCTCCCCGATTCTCCGCCACTCTCTCCGATTCTCCGCGACTCTCTCCGAGCCTCCTTGGCTATCGAACACTCTCCATTGGTTCACCGGCTTCATGGTTCACTGGCCACCACTCTTCCCTGGCTCCCTTTCGATTGTCAGATTTTTATTCCAGTCTGATCGTCGTCATCGCACGCCTTTTCTTTTTTCGTTACTCTCGACCTGTGTCCGAGTCTCCAATATCAAAGTGCTCTTATCCGAATATTCATGGTAGGTGCATACTGCATATGGATTGAATCTTTGCTTTGTAGTTTATATCTGATTCGTCCAATATCACTAGCTGCGCTCTCCCCAACTCTCTCTCTCTCTCTCTCTCTCTCTCTCTCTCTCTCTCTCTCTCTCTCTCTCTCTCTCTCTCTCTCTCTCTCTCTCCCATACACTCTCTCTCCCCTCTCTCTCTCCCTCTCCAACTCCCCCTCGATCCCGGCCCCCGGGTGTCACAACAGCCTTTGCACATTCTGTGGAACAATGAGCGTCACGGCTGTGCCAATTCAGTCTCGCTCGTGCGCCCTTCGTTACGGAGTGCACACGAGATTGAGTGAGTTTCCTTCTCCCAGTTTTCGACAGTGCGGTGCAGTTGACAGTTGACATTCTCCACGGGATGATATCAGGGCAGACAGGTTTCCGTCGCGAGGGTGCGGACCGGCACGATATACATGTCTCTTGGCTCTGTAGATATGAGCCGTCAGAGATACCCGGCCGGGGAGATGGACAGACCGGTATAGCCGTCTGACGGTCACAGAGCTGGATGACGGATGACGGGTCTCAGGATGACGGGTCTCAGTGACGAGTTCAAGGTCACCGAGGCCGTGACCGTGCCTTTTTTTGTCGGCGACCCTGGGTCGAACCGGTTCCGCCGCGGCAGTGAGGCCGCGCCATCTCTGACGAGTCAGAATGTCGCCTCTGTGACAAAGTTTCATTGAGGCTCATTTCGGAAGGGTCCTGTTCACATCTCCACCCGGGCTTGCCATTTATACGGAGAGGAATGGACACGAGGGCCCATGCAGACGAGACGTTTGAACCTAAATACCGATGTGGATCTGTGTTCGAAGAATGCGAGATCCTAAGCCCAGCATTCCACTGCTATGCTGAGCGTAGACAGCGCAATGTCTATGTCTGCTAGGTGAAAGTGACTAGTTCAGGAACAGAGCCATCAAACTCTTGGCCACTTACTGTGTTCAAAACGGTATACATTATGAGAGGGATGTCTCCTCAAATGGTTCAAATTTAGCAGTTGTGGCAATGGATAATAATATGATTCATGAGTTACACTTAAAGTTTATCCGATAATTTTGACATGGAAATGAATTATGTAGCTGCAAATAACCCCGAGTAAAAACTATCATGAATGTAATTATAGTTGACTTTTCTGTAAGTTCAACAGTGTGTATGTATGTAGAACGGTGCAGTGCCAACTCAAGTAGCTCACCTCGTTTCTGCATGATTACATATTCCAGAATACCATTTGTCACGTCATGAAGTCCTTTCACTGTTCCATCATTCATCCAGTAATGGATACATGCAGGTACTCGCTAGGCTAGGGCTGTACGCCTATACGTAGCCTACTGTCGAATGCAGATCTATCCTTTATAGTAAGTAACACAAGGTGTTTTGAAAATTAGAGAACACTATTTGTTAGAATTGTGCAAGGTACTCACATAGGTAAATACTTTACAAGAGAAATCTTTCGGTGTCTTTTGCCCTGTGCACTTTCGGGATGAAATTTGTCATCTGTAGGGCCGTTAGCAGTTCGTGCATTGATTGTGAATTATAATTACACCATGCCCAGGTGATCTTACTCTATCTAAAGAGATACATGCTCCTCATCTATCCCTTCCATGTAACATTTGTGCTTCTGTGAACAGCACCTGCGTGTTTTGCCCTATCTAATCCGCATCTACCTAATCGTATCTTACTTCACTCCCCGGTCCCCATCGAGCCGTTTCCGGTTGGAGGGGTACTGTTGGGATGGGTACAGGGTGGGTGATTGATCCCGGCACCGGCGGAGGGAGGCAACGATCCATCCGGAGCAAAATTACTTCTCCGCGAGTAGGTACTATTTTTTCCGTTAGACGCACATGCAGCGCTGCAGTCTCCCGCTGGGCGTGGAGAAACAATCGAGAGTGCGGGATGGGGTTCCTTTCTTGCATGCTGTCGTCTCTGTATTTCAATAGTATACAGTACCTCTCTCTCTCTCTCTCTCTTCCTCTCTCTCTCTCTCTCTCTCTCTCTCTCTCTCTCTCTCTCTCTCTCTCTCTCTCTCTCTCTCTCTCTCTCTCTCTCTCTCTCTCTCTTTCTTGTTTCAGTTCCTGACAGTCTCTCTCTTGTTTCAGCGGCTGCCCAGCTGAGCGGCTGCGAGTACTCGGAAGGAGTACAAACGTACCCGGACCCCACCTCCTGTGACCAGGTAAGGAGTACAGACGATGTCCATCTATCTATTCTTTTTTATAAATTTAGTCCGAACCTTTTGAATGGAACGATTCACAAGGAGAGTGCCCCTCATAAGCGAAGCTTGTTGCGCTGACCCTGCCCTGTAGGCTCTACCCTCCGATCGCGCTATTCCAGTTATATGGCAGAATTTGGAGTCCAAAGTCAAAAGTCATAGCCCCGTGCACGGCCGGTCCCCTCACTGACTTCGCCTGGCTACGGCCTGCCACCAACGGCAACCATACCTGCCAGGAGGCCCATAAACGTCGAGCGCCCGTCGCGCTTCGAACCCGGACTGCTATTACCGGGAGCGCGTGCTCTCACCACGCGGAGTCCAGCACTCTACCGACTGAGCTACGGGACCGGATGTGATAATGGTTCCTCACCGAATCATAAGACTTCCGAACCGCTGCTGGGCGGGTTTGATTACAAACATCTTTCAACTGGTGCTGGATTTATATGATGATTTTGCTTATGATTCTAATGGCCAATTTTGGAGTGTCTGCAGTGTCGGCAGCGTTCAGTGTGTTGGCAGTTCTAAAAATGCACAAACGGTACCCTAGCCCTGGAGCGCGGCGGTGCCCGTCGCCCCTCCCCATCGTGGTGGCTAGAGTTGTTGTACCCTCCCCCCCCCCCCCCCCGCCTCACTGACCGATGCCTCTATGTGCCGACAGTACTACAAATGCACCAACGGCACGCTGACCCAGGAGCGGTGTGAAAACGGACTTCTCTACTCGGGCACCGGAGCTGTGCACGAGCACTGTGCCTATTACTGGAATGTCGACTGCGGCGACCGACCCAATGAGCGTGAGTATAAGGGGAGAGGGAGAGGGAAAGGGAGAGGGAGAGGGAGAGGGAGTCGGCCACTGCGGCGACCGACCCAATGAGCGTGAGTGTCTGGGGCTAGGGAGAGAGAGAGGGAGAGGGAGAGGGAGGGATGGAGGAGGAAACAGAAACGGAAAAGGAGATGGGGAGGACGGAAAAAAGATGAAGGAGAGTAGGTGGGATGCGTCAACTGCGGTGATCTTGTGATTGCAAATGTTCGAAAAAAGGAGGAGGAAGAGAGAGAGAAAACGAAACGGATGGACGAAGAGGGGGAATCCACTGCGGCTACCCTCCTATTTAGTGAGAGATGTGGTCCGCTGGGAGTGGGGACGCCGAGGATGGACAGAGCACCTGTACCCGTAAAATTTCAGAGGCTGCTCTATCCCTAGGGACAGTCGAAATGACTCCCCAGTGAAAGTTCTGGAGGAAAGAGGACATTAACCGCTTGGCTAGAAGACTGAGATAATATCCCAGCATGCAGCAATGTGAGGCGATTGTGCAACCGTAATTTGAGTCTGCACTGAAAACTTTTTTACCATTTCCTGAAGGGTAAACCCGCCATAGCATGGTAGCTTGACACACAGACGTTTTTTACCACCTTCCAGATGGTAAATTTTACTCTTTCATGAAGAGTAAACTCGCCAGGGAGGGGTAACATGACACACAGACGTTTTTTACCATCTTCTGAATGGTAAACTCTTTTGATTTACTCTTGTCTAGAGTGTAACATTTTTTGGGTTACACTCTTTGAAAGGGTAAATCTTAAACGGAACCCTTTTCTAGGGAGTAACGCATCATCTACTCTGTGCTTTACCCTCCTACAGAGAGTATATTCTTCTGGTCTACCCTTTGTCACATGGTAATGTTTACTCTTTCCTTTAGTGTAAACCCCCCAGAGGATGGTAACAGACTCACAGACGCTTGCTTCAGAAGCTTCACGAAGCTTCTGTTAACCGGAGCTCACCAACTAAAAAACACATGCTTCAAGAGCAACAATGTATATTTGGCTTCCGTACAAACAATACGAGGGGCACACCAGCCATGAACATTGTGAGACTCTTCACTTATGCATACGAATTTATACGAAGCGTTCAGCAATGCACAAGCGGTAAATAAACACCACGATACAACTTGAATGCACTTTGAATGTGAATACAAGACATTCAGCGCCCTCATATTGGATAAGGCACAGCGCACAATATTTTAAGAGAGCGACGGCGTTCCTGGGTGGTCGCCCGTCTGCGTGAGATAATGAGACTGGATCACTACAGTGCAAGGCTTTTTCAAAGTCACCAACAAAATGCATAAACTTGTAGCATCACAACAAAATTAATGTACGTACTCACAACCTAGGCCACGTGGCCGTGCACGGGGTCCTGTTAACCAGGTCAAATTAGCACCACTCAACGGCATGCAATGCTCTAGCACATCGGTACTTACAATAAAATGTCCACAGAGGCTCTATAGGCGATGAACAACACGCAAGCACAATCACCAACGGCCACGCCGCGCGGCACCGACACTGCTCACATCCTCTCTCGGAGACCAACGGCCGAAAACTGACAGATGCGCGCGGCCTTCAAACCGCAAACGGCCGATCTCGTTTCTGATTGGCTGAGTGATTCCATTTCAAATATCATCTTCACGAGGGTAAACAAGATCCACGCATGAAACGACTATCTGTACACGAGTCACGATACCCAGAAGGAAAGAGTTTTCGTGATGTTCTGGATCGCGAGAGTAATATTGATATTTACATGGTAATAATACTCTTCGCTGGCGAATAAGGTCATATTAACCACGTACCGTTACTATGCACATAATGGTAGCAAAGAGTTACCCTTTCAAAATACTCTTATCTTGCTGGTTTGATGAAAATGAACCCTCCAGGAGGTAGTAAAAAAGTTTTGAGTGTGATGATGGGCATTGAGTGAATTACTGTTGTGACAGCCGACAGGTAACACGGGAACATTGCAAACATGAAATTAATTTAAATCAATTAGGTATGTGTCATCAGAGTACTGTCGAACGGAGATGAAGACAAACTTTGCCAATAACTGTATCGGTGATAGACTGACGATCACTAAGCCTTCTATCATGTTCACTAGAATCAAAAACTGTTTTGAATAGCTGAACTCTTGAGCCTCTAAAGGCCGTCATTCTCTTCACGGCTCTGTGTGGTCCGTATCAGGCAATCGATCAGCTGGTCTGAGACAAGAGAGAGATAACCAGCCTCCTCAGATAGAGAGGAGGCTGGTTATCCTATCTCCCTCCTATCTCCGTCAGACAAGAGAAAGATAGACAGCCTCCTCTGGGCTCCAACTGGGATGAGACAGCTGCTGTTGCACAAGCGCGGTTACCACATCGATCATGGTATGATAGAGTACATATGACTTTCAGGCCCCTCCACTTTTAGGTTTATTTGCAATAACGCCTGGATTCGGATATTGTTAAGATTATATTGTGTTCAACAAGTATACTCAGTGCAACAATTAACAGACAGAAACAAAATCCGGCATCCGGTGAACAGCGTGATAGGCACGAACATAGTGCTCCAAGGTCGGCGAGGGCTGTGCTTGCCATCTCGTCCTTACGCCATCTTGAAATTTAACCTTCGCCCCAGTGGGGGGGGGGGCATATGTTACCACCCTGTCGCGTTTTTTGCGTGTGAATAAAAAACCGCGGCGCTTAGCGCCGCGCCGCTTGGGGTAGCTTTTGGTACATCAATTTTGGACAATGTGTGAAATTTTTGGCCCCAGGTCATGTCAGGTCAGGTCACCAGGTCAAGTTAACCCTCGCGGGCCCGGGGGGGGGGCGTTTTTCGCCCCCCTGGCGAATATTTGCGATAGCTCCCGAACGCTTAGGGATAGGAAAGCGAAACTTTCAGTACCTTATCTCCCATCAATTTGACATCTTCTGAAGTAAAAATTTTTGACCTAGCCCCCTTGATGACGTCACAAGGTCGATTTTTCTAGACCCCTGCAAGGCAAACTTCGGCGTCACAGACGCGAACTTCAAATAGCTGCTAAAAATAGAGTTTTAGAGATAAAGACAAATTACGAGCACGGTTGTGTAGCGTTTGACCTAGAGAAAAATAGAAAAATAGTTTTGGTGACCTGAGGTCAGAGGTCAGGTCAACGACCCCGAAATGTGGTTTTAGTTTTTCGCAAATAACTTCGACAAAAATGGTCCTAGAGCTACGGCAGTGGTACCATCGCATTCGCCGTGTCAAGCCGCGTCGAATGATATATATTTTGTTTGGAAAAGGTCAAATTTTATGTTGACCTCATGTGACCTCGAATGACCTTTGGTTGACCTTGACACATGAAAGGTCGTTTATAATGGATTTGTACCCGCTGATCACGAATCTGGCATCCATTTTCCTCTAAGCCTTCATTTAGAGCTTCCGGATGGCAAAATTGTCTTATTTATTATTACTAACTTGAATTAGTGAAATAGCCTCTAGCAAGGATACTCTTCTGTGACCTTGACCTTTGAGCAGCCTTGTATCGTAAGATGAACCACAAATAGGGAACTGATAAGCCTCCAAACATTTCAAAAAGTCTTGGAAGTTAGCACGCAAGATGTACGAAAAAGTGCAAAGTTTGAGGTCAATTGTGAGCGTGACCTTGACCTTGACCTTTGATTTTGAGCACATATTCGGAATCCTCAGATTCTCTTCTTTCGTTTGATACCCAATTTTGCCGGTTTGATGCATCTTGCCATCCTCTAGAAGGCTTACTTTGAGATCACTACACATGTGCCGGTTTTTGCCTTTGACCTTGACCTCTGACCTTGAAAATTGACCTGAGGTCAAAAATTTTAGGTGCTTTAGAATCGTCTCGTAAGGACCTTTCGTTTGGTATCGCTTTTGTTTCCGTAGCTCCCTTATTTACGGAGTTAGACAGGGGGGGGCGAAAAACGCCCCCCCGGGCTGCGGTGGTTGGGATTACCCCCCGGGCCCGGCCGGGTTAACTGACCAAGCCTAAAAAAGGTTTGCAATCATGTCCAGCCTGCAGTGTTTGTCGGAAAGGTTTTAAACTTGGTGGATTGCATGCTGTTATGGGCGCCTATAATTTGTATATCTCGGATTTTTTATATCCATGACCTAAGGTCAGGTCAGTGGCGTGACCTTTCCATTACAAGTCAATGGAGAAAAATGAAAATGCCTCTAGATCCATGTGTACGCATCGGAATAGTCCAAATATTTCAGAATCGCAATGATTTAGTCCACTCGTGATGACCAAGGTGTCATTTTTGGTGCTAGCCTCTAGACAGGTCATCCGAGGTCACTTGAGGCTACAAACAGTTTTTTGCCAATAACTCGCGATTGGAAAGAGATAGAACGCTGGGGATGGTCTCATTGTGTTTGTCTTGTTGAGACGCATCGACTGATATGCAACATGACCTTTTCCGGTAAGGTCATGACCTTGACCTGAGGTCAAATTTTCAAGTTTACCTTTCAAGGTCAAATTATAGTTCATTCGACGCGTCTCGGCGAGGGGAACACGATTCTGGCCATAGAAATGTCGTGGCTTTTTGTAGTCGAAAGTTATTGTCGAAAAACACTTTTCGTAAAAAGAGCTATTTTTGGAGTTTTTGCCCTCTGGAGGCTAAACCGTTGACCTGAGGTCAATATTGACAATGACCTTTTCAAAAGAAGAGTTCAAAAGCTATCGTTTGCTATTCCATGCCTTTTTCTAGCTAGCATAGTTCCTGAGATAGCGGCATGTTTCCTGAAAGATATAATGACAATTGGCAAATTTTGACCTTTGATGACCTCTGGTGACCCCAATATTGCTCTAAGGTGAAAAATGACCGAAATACTTTCAAACGTACGCACTGAGAGCTATCGACTGCTTTTTACCGCGTCTTTCTAGCCCTCTTAGTTTTTGAGTTAGAGGTGGGTGGTAACATATGCCCCCCCCCCCCCCCACTAGGGCGAAGTTGGCTGAGACCGCCACTGGGGAGCGGGTTAAATA